AAGCAAAAAAGAGAGGAGGAGACATACAAAGAGAGGAGAGAGCGGGGGGGGGGCAGGGAGAGAGAGAGAGAAACATCGATGTGAGAGAGACACAACAATTAGTTGCCTCCTGCACATACCCAACCAGGGCTGCTGATCGAACCTGCAATCCAGATCCAGGTATGTGCCTTTGACAGGGAATCAAAGTCGCAACCCTTAAGTCGGGGCCAATACTTGAACCACTGAGTCACACCAGCCAGAGCTAGCTAGTGTTATTTTAAGCCACGAGCTTTTGGAATAATTTGTTATATAGCAATAGAAAACTGACACAAGTAAATACTGTGGTGCCGCTTTATTTAGTACAAGGTCCTTATTTTATAGAGGACCTTTTACTCCACGAGAGTCAGCTTGCTATATAGGTGTGAGAATTGACCACATACTCAACACATTACCCAAAGTATGAAACATAATGTGACCATAACACACTCGTGCAGCCAGTCTCCCTCCTGTTTTAATTAGTCCATGGTATTATTTTATGATGTTTTGTTATGTGTAATTTAAACATTTGTTTACATATAGTAAGAGCGAAACTCATCCCATTCTAAATTGAACTGCTTTTTAGTTTCAATGATTATTTACGCAAAATGTTCTCTTGGTGATTGAGAAGACACCTGTTTCACATCAGTTTTCATGTCCATGCTCTCAAATGTAGGCTATGCTAACCACCGCGGCAGTGAGGGTGTGAGGTAAAGGCTCAGTTCTTTTTTCCTCCCTCTCTTATTACATCTCAGCCTTAAGCCCTTAACACTAATTTTGGGACTGAGTTTGTTGATGTGCAGTGGGAGAGGAATGGCTGTCTCTGGAGAAATGGAGAAGAAAAGAGATGAAAGTGTATCCGTTCCTGAGAGAGCGACGTATCCGGGTTTGTCTATAGGGGTGTCTGGCTCTAATGAACCAGCGTCATCAAGCTGCCTGTGTACTGCCTCTTTTCTTTGCTAAATGTCACCAGCCCAGGGCCCACCAGTCTGGCTCACTGGGCTCCATCATTTTCGGACGGGTGTTTTTCCTCTCCTGATTTTATCCTAGGTCAGAAATATATGGCACAAACCGTAGTGACCCTTAGCTACTGGGTGCAAGTCTTCATCACTATCTCCTGCCCTCACTGCTCATATATACTGTTTTAATATACACACTTGATTCTCACATTCATTGACGAAGGCATTGGCCAGGGACACAAAAGTGTATGAAAGTATTAGAGAGCAAACAAGGAGGAAGCCAACCTCTTGCCAGCCTGTAGGCCTTCACCCCCATCAATCAACAGTCTTTCTAACTATCTCTTTTGGCCTCGCCTCAAGTGGACAGCATTCTGATTACACCCATGAGAGCTCAGAACTGGGAACTGCCCTCCAGAACAGCCAGGAAAGGGACCCAAGGGCTGGAGCTCTGGTGTTGAGCTGAGCTCTAGATCCGTGGTTCTTGTTTCTAGCAACCAGTTTCTAGTTCCTGCTCACTTCCTAGTTTTCCTGGGTCACAGAAGAGGCCATTCTCATATAAACACCTTAGAGATGACCAGAATATTTGTCTTGAAGTTTGTGAAGAGTCCGGTAGACAACTCACAACCATGGGAAACAGCTGTGCCTGCAATGTTTGTTTTTTTTCTTTCCCCTTGCAGCTATGTTCCCCTTGGGATAGAAGAGAAAAACAATCTCATTGTTTATTGCAAAGGTTTATCTCCTATCTCCAGTTCCTGTGGTCATGGCAACTTTGTCATCTCCTTACCAACAACTGCTGCCTTTCCCATCACCAGTAAGGCCTGTTGTCCTTGGGCTGCAGCCACCTTGGCTGTTGTTGCCATTGGATTTATCACAAGGAGATATCGTGGCACACACGTCACTAGACTGCTATGCTCTTACCACTCCTGCCTCAGCGGCCATTGAGCCTGCTGTGATCCCATCTGCCACCATCTTCTCCA